GAAAGACATGTTCATCACACTGTTGGAGTTATGGTTTGGGGTGCTATAGCTTATGGTTCCAGGTCACCTTTAATCTTCATCAGAGGTAACATGAACGCGCAGCGTTATATCCACGAAGTTCTAGAACCCCATCTTTTACCCTATCTTGACACCCTGGCAGATCCATCTTTCCAACAAGATAATGCCCGACCACATGTTGCAAGAGTCACAATAGACTTCTTTCAACATAATGATGTCACATTGTTACCATGGCCACCAAGATCTCCCGACTTATCCCCAATTGAGCACGTGTGGGATATGATGGGTAGGAGATTGCTCAATTTGCAACGTCCTCCTTAGACTCTAGAAGCACTTCGAGAGGAGTTGGTGGTTGCCTGGAATGAGATACCACAGGAGGACATTGACCACCTGATCAGAAGCATGCCTAGGCGCGTTGGAGAATGCGCAGCACATCAGGGTGCATCACACATTATTAAAGGTCAAAGGGCTTTAAAGCAATCATTTTGAAATTTTTATCATTTACTTATTATGCTTCATTAAGTACTTATACAAAATTTTATTAAAATAAAACCATTTAAACTGGGTGTTCGGATTTATATGTCACTTAGTATATTTACGTTGAAAATGAAATGGATTGAGAATATCGCAGCAGCAAAGGCATGGCAAAAGTAAGTACTCGTATTTTTCTGTTTATTATAAATACTTTCACCAGTACGAATTCATTTTAAAAATTTTCCATAAATAAATAGTCATCAATACTTCGTCCTTTTTTGGAGAAACATACAGGGTATCCTGTGGGAAAGCTCACCTTTTGATTTAAGAAAAAATACAAACATAATGAAAGAAAGTATTTATGACTATCAACATATTAGTAAATTTAGCGGGTTCCGGAGTGATGTTGTGTATTTCTCGTCGAATGTTGTCTTTAAGCTCCTTCAGTGTCCGTGGATTATTGGAATACACATTTGACTTACACAAAAAATAATCGCATGGCGTGAGGTCGGGTGACCTAGTAGGCCAGTGAATGTCTCCAAACTTCGATATAACTTTTTGAGGAAAAAGTGGTTTCACCGGGACCATCAATACTCTGGAAGTATGGGCGGTGGCCCCATCCTGTTGAAACCATGTGTTTCGGTTAAATCGACGTTCTGTTCTCACAATAGGAGCAAAGCAGTTTCAATCATGTCCTTGTATCGCTTGAAATTGACTGTCAATGCATGACCGTTTTCATCTTCAAAGAAATACGGCCCATTAATACCGCTAGAGGACATGGCGCACCAAACAGTCACCTTTGGACTAAGTAGCTGTTGTTGTTGTTTCTCTTTTGGGTTCGTTGGTGTTCAATATCTGCAATTTTGTTTGTTCACATAACCCTCTAAGTCTAAGTGAAAATGGGCCTAATCACTGAAAACATCGTTCTCGAGTCTGCGCTTTGTGGGAAAAAGATTCAACATCCGTTCAGCACAAAATTTCCGCAATGCGTAATCATTTTCTTTTAAAGCATGGACTGATTTGATTTTATAAGGATGACAACCCATTTTTCTCTTCATTATGCCATGCAGTGTTGACCTAGGGATTCCCAAAGCAGCGGAATACTTCCCTGCAGAACACCGAGGATTTGCAATGACCGAATCACTTACTCGACGCACATTTTCTTCGGTTGATACAGTAGGTGTAGGGCCAGGAATGGGTTGTCTAGGAGCAGAGCCTGGTTCACGGAACCTCTTAATCCACTTTTTCAATAGGTTCTTACTTGGGACATCTCTTGGTCGGCGAATGTTGTATCTTGTACAAAATGTCCGCAGGGCAGCTGCATATGAAACATCACTCTTAAAGTAAGCCTCGATATCAAAAGCACGTAGCGCTCCGTCCAACGTTCATTGTGACTATTTAACCCGCACGCCGAACGCGTCGATCAAGCCCTCTCCCCACTTCCTCACGTATACGGTTGCCGCGTAATTCAAACTTGAAATGTGAACTTTACCACTGATCACCCTGTATTCCTTTTTATTATTGGTCCACCCAAATTACATCATATCGTATCGGAATAGTATAATTTTTACGATTGCGATAATATCTGCGGCCACTAGCAGGGTACGTGGCAACACCGGCTGCTACTGAGTACAAAAACCTCTTTTAAGTTGGTAGTGGGAGAATTTACATTCGACTTTCTCCGCCGAAATGGCGGCAGTTTTGACAGTGACAGGAGAGTTTCATAGCTGATTATTATCCAAGTGGACTTGTCATAAATTAAGTTTTATGCAGTTCTGTCATTAGATGCGTGTTTTTAGTGTTATTTTTTGAAAGTGCGAGTGTTTGTAGATAATTGTGGTGTTAGATGAATTTTAGGACATAGTATTTCTTGCATAATTCTCAGAGAGTGCCACAAGTCCAATCGGTAAGTAATTCTTATTATGGTGATGCAACGTTGCGACTTGGGTAGGCAATAGTAGTCAATAAGTCAAAAGTATGCACTAGAACTAAGCAATTTTCCTCGACAACAATGCAATATAGACATTTAAACTTGGCTCCTTCTAATTCCATACGAATTCGTTGGTTGCACCCCACCCCTGTATCTGCCTCATTACTGCAAATGGCAAAAAATATTGCGCGATCAAAGCACGATTTGCTCAATGTCATTAGAGCGCTATGCGGCCAGTTCAATGCCTTTCGTTCAAGCAACATGACAGTATCGAGGTTTATACAAAGTACTGGTTTTTTAACTGATGAATGTGATATTTTTGTTTTTCCTTGTATTTTAAAAGATTCCATAGAGAAATAATAGGAAATTATTGACCACTCCTTGAGGCCAAGCAGTATTTTGATGACTGTGCCTGTCACTAATTAATTTATTGATTTCGCGGTCAATAACAGCTGCCAGGTAATCAATTTAAACAATTCATTTACATTACATTTAGTACCCAACTGGCACAAAAATCAAAAACCCGCCGCGAGAAGATCAAAATCAAAATCAATAACCAAACCATCCAAAACGCAACCCTCAACTTAGTGAGGTTGACAGTATTTATATGTGAGGAACGTTTTTATTCTCCCTTATAAGAGGTAGCCTCTATTTTCATTAGTGTCAAACTTGCCTGACGGCATGAGTTCAGTGTGTACGAGAGAACATTGTTTATAGACATATATGTTAGAAAGAGATATAAGCCGGCTGCATAGTG